ATAATGAAAGCAATCCTAATAAGGAAGTTTATACCTGTGAATGCCCACATCTTAAAAACATATTAAACTTAAATGAAGAATTTCATGAGGGATCACAAATTCCTACAAAAACAAGAACCATCCAAACTCAAAGCTAGCACAAAGAAGGAAAGTATAAAGATCAGACTAGAAATCAATGAGCCCCCCCAAAAAAAATAATTCAAAGAACTAAAGAGTCTAAGAATTGCTTCTGTGAAAGAACAAAGAAAACAGACAAACCACTATGCAATCTAACCAAACAGGAAAAGACATAATCAATGCGATTAGAAATCAAAAAGGTGAAACCACAATGAACACCGTCAAAACAAATACCATTATTAACAACTAGTTCACAAACCTATACTCCAATAAATTGAAGAATTCAGAAGAAATGGCTAGATTTCTAGATACACGTGAATTATCAAAACTGAAACTAAAGATTTAAAAACCCTGAACAATCCAGTGACAGACAATTAAATTGAGACAGTAATAACCTACAAACTAAGAAAAGCCCAAGTCTGGATGGCTTACCTGCTGAATTCTACAAAGCTGCACGGAAATTCTAAGAGCAACACTCCTCAAGTGTTTTAATGAAATTGCAAGAAAAGGATTATTCCTAAAGTCATTCTCTGATTACAAAACCAGACAAAGATCTAATCAACAAACAAACAAAAAACAAAACAAAACAAAAACTACAGTGGTACCCCGGTTTGGTTCATGAACTTAATTCATTTCATGATTCTGGAAACAATGGCCATGTTAGTCTTGATTCAGAGTTCATGAACAAAATCAAAATTATGCCAAGCATTTCTGTTTGCAAACCAAATTGTTTGCAAACAAATACTTGTGAACCAAGGTACCACTGTATAGACCAATCTCTTTAATGCAAAAATCCTCAGGAGTATACTGGCAAACAAAATGCACTGAATCATCAAAAAGTTCACACATCACGACAAAACAGGCTTCATCCAAGCAATGCAAGGATGGTTCAACATACACAAATCAATCAATACATGTAATTCATCACATACACAGAACAAGGACAAAAAAAACACGTAATCATCTCAATTGATGTAAAAAAGCCATTGACAAAATTCAACAGTCTTTCACGATTACAAAAAAAAAAAGAAAATGGGTGTAGAAGGAACTTATTTCAATATGATAAAAGCCATTCATGACAAACCTACTGCCAATTTCTTAGTATATAAGGAAAAACTGAAAGCTTTCCCTCTAAAACCAGAAACAAGACAAGCATGCCCTCTCACCATTCCTGTTCACTATAGTACTTAAACATCAGCAATAACAATGAGTCAAGAAAAAAATAAAATAAAAGATATGTACTGGAAAGGAAGAAGTTAAATTATCATTATTTGCAGATGACATTATCTTCTACATAGAAGATCCCCCAAGAGACTTTTGGAATAGCTAAAAAAGTAAAATACAAAATCAACACACAAAAAAATCAATAATGTCCTTGAATACCTTCCCTGAGAAAGAAATCAGGTAAAAATACCATTCACAATAGCACCATGAAAAATTAAATGCCTAGAAGTTAAGCTAACTAAGGAAGTGAAAGACCTTTATAATGAAAAATATAGTATTCTGAAAAAAGAAATTGAGGAAGACATCAAAAGATGGAAACATATGCCTAATTTTTCGACAGGCAGAATCAATATAGTAAAAATGGCCATTTTTCCAAAATAGGTATACAGATTTAACACTCTCTCAATCACAATTCCAACAGCATTCTTTAAAAATTGTAAAAAAAAAAAAAAATCCTAAAATTCATTTAGAACCAGAGGAAATCCAGAATCACAAACACAATCCTTACTAAAAAGAGCAAAGCAGGAGGCTTTGTAATCCAAGATGGCACTTGTACAAAAACAGACATGAGGATCAACGGAACAGAACAGAGGATACAGAAACAATTTCAAACACATTTAACCATCTGATCTCTGACAAAGGGGCCCAAAGCACACACTAGAAGAAAGATATGTTCTTTAATATATGGTTTTGGGAAAGCTGGCTATCCACGTGCAGAAGATCAAATATTTCTCACTATGTACTGACCTAAAAACAAAATGGATCTAAGAATTAAATGCTAAAACAGAAACACTTGCCAGGTGTGGTGGCAAATGCCTGTAATCCCAGTATCTAGGAGGTTGAGGCAAGAGGATTGATTCAAGTTTGCGGCCAGCCTAAATCACACAGAAGAAACTATCTCAAAACAACAAAACAAAACAACAAAATAATCAAAACCCAAACACAGACACAGACACCCCCCCCAAAAAAAAGATGAAACACTTAACCTGCTAGAAGAAAAGACAGGTAAAACTTGAAGTCATAGGCATAGGCAAGGACTGAAAAAGAACTCCACTTGCACAGGAAATAGTTCTGAGAATCAACAAATGGGATCATATTAAATTAAAAAAGCTTCTGCACAACAGTAGAAACAACAGAATGAAAAGATAACCTACAAAGGGGAAAAACTTTTGACACAAAGCACTCATATCTAGAATATATAAAGAACTAAAAAAATCAGAACTAAAACAAAAGACCCAATCACAAAAATGGGCAAGTTAAATGAAATAATAAATGGCCAATAAATACAAAAAATTCTCAACATCCACATCGCTGCCCATTAGATAAATGTAAATTAAAACAACAATAAGATTCCTAGAAATACACAATATACCAAGACTGAGTTACATCAAAACAAGAAAGCTGAACAGAGCAAAATAAGTAAGGAGATGGATGGAATAAACAATAAAAACTTGCCAACAAAGAAAACAATAAGCCCTACCAATTTCACTGGTGAGTTCAAACACTTACAGAATTTTTCTCAAGATCTTCAAACAAATGCATTAGGAGGATAAACTTCAAGCTCACTTTATGAGGCAGCATTATCCTAATACCAGAAAAATACACTACAAGAAAAGCAATAGATAGGCTAATATATCTAATATTACATAGAATGCCAATACCTTTATCAAAAACCTAATCACCCATATTCAATGTCACATTACATACAGCAAGATCAAGGAACCTACTATGGAAATGTAAAATGATTTAATATACACAAATCAATAAATATGATATATTACATTAAGAGTGAAGGTTTAAAATTGTAATAATTTAATGAATACAGAAATGGTACTAAAAAGGTAACATCATGTCATCATAAAAACTCAATAAAAGAGGGTATAAAGAAACACTACTCAATTTATTAGATTATATACCATATGTCCAGATATAATATCATAATGATAAAAAGCTGAAATTCTTACCTGTAAGGGAGGAAGCAAGATAGTGACACTGATTCTCATCAATTCTACCCAAAACAGTACTGAAAATTTTAGCCAAAGCCATCAAGCAAGATAAATAAATACCTATAATTAGGTAAGAGGAAGTAAAATCTCCTGTTTACAGATATAAAAAAACATATACAGAGAAAACCCAACAACTCCAAAAAACTGAACTAATAAATTCAGTAATATTACAAGATACAAAATCAGCATCCAAAGAATAATCAGTTGCATTTCTATACAATTTTTTAAAACTCCCCAAATAAAGATTTAAAAGCATAATACTATTTATAATAACATCAGAAATAAATAAAATATTTAAGAATATATTTAACCAAAAAGGAGAATGATCTCTACATTTTAAACTGTAAAGCACCAATAAAATATATTGAAGAAAACATAAATACACTGAGAAACAACTTGTGTTCACGGGAGATAGGAAGAATTAAAATGGTACTCACAAAGTGACCTATGCAGTCTAACCCCTGTCAAAATTCCAATGGCATTTTTCATAGAAACAAAAAAAAAAAACCCTGAAATGTGTATTAAATTACAAAAGGTCCAGAATTTCTAGATCTATCTTGGACAAGAACAAAGCCAGAGATACTGTATTACCTAATTTTTTTCTCTTTGAGGCAGGGTCTTGCTGTGTAGTTTAGGCTACCCTTGAACTCACTATGTAGCCCAGGTATCCTCAATTCCGTGGCATTCCTTCTGCCTCAGCCTCCCAAATGTGGGGCACCATGCCTAGTGGTATTACCTAATTTCTACTACTTCATGAAGCTATAGTTATCAAAACAGTAAAGCATTAGCACAAACAAACAGAGATACTAGAAATAAATCCACACATATACAATCACTGAAAATGGGAATGGGAAAATTGATTATCCACATGTACGTAAAAGAATGAAATCGGACCCTGTTTTCAATCCATATCCAAGATCAACTCAAAATAGCTAAAGACTTAAATAGCAAAAAGGCAACCATCAAACTATGAGAAAAACTTCATGACATTGGTCTCACAATGATATTTTGGATATTACTCCAATATGACAGCCAACAAAAGCTAAAATTAGAGAAAGGGATTTTGTTAAAATAAAAGGCTTCTCACCAGCAAAGCAAAGAATCAATACTGGACAACATAAGGAATGGGAAAGAATATTACCAAACCATGCACAATATGTATAATTCCAACAATTCTAGCCAAAACAATAAACTCACAAAGACTGAGCAAAGGACCTGAACGTATTTCATGGACTGTGACATTGTTTAGTGATATGTTTTAACCAGATAAGGTCTAAGCTTAATTTCATGAAATACAGTTTTTAAACAGCTATAACTTTATTTTAAGTAGAAATAAGTGTCCCCTAATTCCCTTATTCCATTGTTTTCTTTGATCTGACCTTGATTTTTGCTGTTAGACTGATTTTTCAGTATTTATGTTAGATGGTTAGAATTAGTTTCTACTATCTCTGATTACTTTACCATCAAAAGACTCACCCTTTATATATTTTCTATAGCTACCATTCCTTCTTGCAAGGGGCCTCAGTTTTGTGATATTCTCTGGAAATGCTCTTCTTACTTACCTTGATTAGCAACACATTTACAACCTGTTATTTTCTATCTGCTCTTTATCCAAGGCTTCCTTCATCATTCTGTGCTGGATTTGAAATTTACCTGACCTTGCCCTCAACTTCAGATAAATTATATCCTTTGCTCCAGTGCTCCAGTTTGATGTAAAACAACAGCTTTTTTATTCTAAGTCTTCTGTGGATAGTCTACGTGTTGCATCAGAGAGCAGAACTTTACTGTAAAAGGAAAGTGATATGGTTGTATCTTTCTATTAGCGGCCTAATTTCTAGTCATCTAATTCTATTTCTAAAGTTATCATTTATGGATACTGATAAATAAGTTCATGTATTATTCCCCTGGGGTTTGTTTTATAATATATACTTTATTCCTCTTTCATACGTCTGTTTTATTTCTTTCTCTTTCTTTTTCTTTCTTTCTTTCTTTTTTTGTGGTACTGGGGATGGAACTCAGGATGCAAGGCAGGTGCAGTGCCACTGAGCTAAATCCCCGGCCCATTCTGTTTATTTAACCCAAGTCTCTTCACCCAAATGTTGCTAGGCTGTGGTGGCAGCTGATAATAAGTACACCTGAGAGCAAACAGACAATTTTTTCTAAGACTGATCTTGCCTCAGAAACAATTTAAATATATCAGGGATATAACTATTGTAATTTATGTTTTCTTTTTTATGGTGTTGTAATTTATTTATTTAAATTAATTAATTTCTTGGTACATTTAAGGTGTACAATGTAATGATGTTCATCATTGGAAATGTGTATCTTTTTTTTCTCATTGAGTTTATTGGTACATTTTAGGTATACAGTACAGTTACATTCATTATTGTGATCTTGTACCTTTACATGACAGGTCTTGGTTCTCATTTCTTCCCCTTTGTCTCTGCCCTCCCTTCCCACTTATATTTTCAACACTCAGCCCATATCAAGGCATTCTCCAAACATTTTTGCTTATTTTGAAATATAAACATATGCTTTTAGATTTCAAAAAGATAATTCACGTTTGCAGTTCAATGAAACAAAAGTTGCTATAAATTTTAGTGTTCACATTTGTAACCTCAACTACGTGACTATCTCAACAGTAGACATTGTAGATACTTTTGTGTGATGCTTAAACACTGTCAATGTCCCAATTTCTTATATTCTTTACCCTTCTACTGGATTCACAGTAAATAGAAACATTTTGTAAATGCTGATAAAACTGCTGCATCCTCGAGACTGGATATGATGTGTCAACAATCTTACATCACATGGGGGAAATTACCTAATCTTAAATGGAATTTTAAAATACTGAAATGTCCTAAAATGCATTCTGTAACCTTAAGAGTTATATTTATAATGAATTTAAATTAGTATCAAATGTCAGTGATAAGTTAATGAGGACTGAAAAAGTGATCTCTGTATTTAGCAATATGAAAGCTTTCATACTTGGACATGGAAATTTCAGGTGTATGCAAGGGAATAAAAAACATGAATATTCAAGTAAAAAATAGAGAAAAGCAACTGGATATAGTCATATAGGTAACTCATGAGTAATTCTCTTTTAGCAAAGGACCAAATAGATGACCAGATGAAAGGGAAAGTGAGACAGAGAGAAAATTGGAAAAATAACAGCATATATGTCCTCTGATTTGGAATTATCAAAAAAAGGAGTAAACACTAATGTAGAAATAAAAGGGGAAATTGTTAGAATAAAGTTGTTGGTAGATTAAAGAAAAAAGGGAAGAGAAAAAAATGTGAGATAATGAAAAGATGGAAATAAAGTGTTTGTAGATGGGGAGGGGAGGAGGGGGTGAAGGGAGGGCAGAGGTAAGGGGAAAAAATGAGAACCAAGACCTGTCATGTAGAAGTACAAGATCCCAACAATGAATGTAACTGTACTGTATACCTAAAATGTACCAATAAACTCAATTAAAGCTGAAAAATAAAAAAGAAATGCTGAATACAAAAGAAGGCACTAGGTTAAGGCAGCGTGTGTATGAACAGAAATTGCCATGTAAATAGCTCCAGTTTTCTCAAGAAATTCATAGAGCTGTACAGTTAAGAAGCAGGCAGCTAGGGAAAAACAGAATATAATGGTAAAGCTTGACACTGAAGGGCTTTAGCTCCTGATTCAGTCCATAAGTCTGTGACTTTAGGTACATACTAAACTTCTCCAGGCCTCAATTTCTTCAAGAGTAGATGAAAATAATACTGCCATCTTCTTTTATAAGTTTGAAAAGAAAGATTAAATGGTATAATATATCTGTCTTCCTTTAACAAAATATAAACCCCATAAAAGCACTGGATTTCCATCTTTTTTTTCTTTTTGTTATTATATTGTGCTTGCCATATACTAAGAATTCAGTAAAGGTGAGCTATTATTATTATCACCAGTTAATTTTAATAACATTCTTGGTTTGGATAGAAATGATTCCTACATTGATAAAGACAAGGTTCATTTCTCTTTAACTGGAATGGATAAAATAATTAAAGACAATCAAGTATAGAAATTACAGTTTTAAAATCATATTCTGCAATAGTTATTTTGAAATTTTAAATATTCTTCCTCTAGGCTTTATGAATACTAGAACTATTCCTACCACCATCAATTCTGTTCATATTTGTTCTAAAGGTAGTTGACGAAATTTATACTATACAAAAATCACCTATTTTCATTAATGTAGCTGTTAATATATAGTAATAACGACAATAATATATTTGGAAAAGTAGGCTATTTTTGGAATTCTCTTTATAGTATTTTATCCCAGTAATACTGCAATTGGGGCTACATTTACACAGATTTTCAGTTTCATTATTTTTCATGACCACTCAACCAAGATATTCACTGACTAGTAGAACAAGAAAATTAAACACTGTGTATCAAATTCAAACAATTTTCCATGATTACTCTCAAACCGAAAAATATGCATTTGATACTAATGCATGATATGAAGCGCGCAGAGTCAACAGATATTTTAAAATATAGCTTACGTCCTGCATACCTAATAACATCAGCTGCTAATCCACTGAATTTGATACATCAATTAGAACTATCAGCATTGGCCAGGCATTTAGCTCAGTGGTTCCCGCCGCTGCCTGCCTTGCAAGTGCAAGGACCCGAGTTCGATTCCCGGTACCAAAAAAAAAAGAAAAGAATTATCAACATTAAGGTATGTGCTAGGATTTTTAGGATTTATTACTTGAACTAGTAGAATAACCAATGAAACAATTTTCATTTGCAGTAATTTAAGAGTCTTTCTTCCTAATTTATTCAACTGACTCTTACCAAAAAGTCTTTTTGTAATGAAAGCACTTTTCAGATTCAGTAAATTTTCATAGTGTCATATATTTTAAAATACAGTATCAAATATTAACACATGTGATGTTACTCCTACCATGTAGAGACTGGAAATATGTAAGGTGTGATCAAAAAATGAAGTGTATGTCTAAATTTTAAAAATAATTACAGTAAAAGACACTAATGTTCCTCAAAATACACTTGACTGTTCTTACCACTTTCTGAAGCAATTATGTAAGTCCTCTTTCATGACAACAGCAGTCCAATGGAAAAGCAGACTCATGAAAACATCACTGTTCCTCATTCACCATTATTAACCAAAACAGGTCGGAGGCTGTCACTTAAGGCTCTTCCCCAAAGTTAAAATGGGCACGAAACAAATAATTGTGAAGCAATTCACAACATTCAGAACAGTGCAACTAAAGACACTCATGAAAGAGAAATTCTGTAACCTCTTCAAACAACAGCAAAGGGGCCAGGGATTTAGCTCAGTAGTGCCGCTGCCTGCCTCACAAGGTCAAGGTCCCAAGTTCGATCCCAGGTACAGAAAAATAAAAGCAAGAATGATAGTATAAGTGTGTTCAAAGCAAGGGGGAGCATTTTGAGAGATTAATCACATTTCATCTTTGTAATAATTGTTTTCAAAAATTAAACATTTACTGTATTTTGTGATTAAATCACATATCTTCACCATTAGAGTGTGGCTTTTATCAAGAAGACATAAAAAGTCATTCACCTTAGAACCCCATAAATGTTTACTGAATAACCAATACTAGTTAATATTCATTTAAAATTTATATGCCAAAGAATATGATTAGAAATTTACTTACATTATGGTATTTCCTTTTTTATTAAGTTTATTGGAACGTTTTAAGAATACAGAACAGTTACATTTATCATTGGGATCTTCCTATTTCACATTGTCAGTTATACAACTTGGATCTTATTTACACTTAGTTTTTCACACCAGAGAAGCTACATTATGGCATTTCTTATTCAATTCCAATACCGAATAGTATCTCTGGTGTGAAAAGCTAAAATAGTACTCAAGATCCTAATGGGACAATTAGCAAATAGGAACAAAAGGACCAAAGGTGTAGGGACAGTGAGAAGGATAGGGAAGGGGGAATAAGGGAAAGGGAAAAAAATATGAGAAAATGTAAAAATGGAATTAAAGTGTTTGAAGGGGGGTAGGGGAGGGGAGGGTGAGGACAAGGGGAAAAAATGAGAACCAAGACCTGGCATGTAAAGGTACAAGATCCCAGTAATGAATGTAACTGTATTGTCTACCTAGAATGTACCAATTAATTAAATTTTTAAAAAGGCAATGTTTTTCCAAAGTCACAAATCAACAATCTAATATGCTTACATATATGAGTGAAATTATATAGTATTTTTCTTTCTGTGACTGACTTATTTCAGTTAACATAATATCCTCAAGATTCATCCATGTCATCGCAACTGGGAGATCTCCTTTTAATAAGGCTGAATAGTATTTCTGTGTGTGTGTGTGTGTGTGTGTGTGTGTGTGTGTGAGAGAGAGAGACAGAGAGAGCGAGACAGAGAGAGAGAGAGCAGCAGAATTTGTTTATGCATTCATCCCATTACTTAAGTTGTTTCCATATCTTGCCTATTATAAATAATGTTTCACTGAACATGGGGATATTAATATCTTTGAAAAGTGGTGATATGATTGGCTTTGGGTACGTGTCCAGCAGAGGAACCAATCGGTCATACAGGAGCTCTACTTTAAAATTTTTAGGAGCTTCCCTACTATTTCCCATTTGCTGCACCAATCTATATTCTCACCATCAGTGAGCTCCCTTTCCTTTTCACCCTCAACAATATTTACCGATCTCTTTTTGATAATAGACTCTAACAGACTTAAAAGTATGGAATCTTAAAAATGATTTTTAAAAACGGAAAATTCATAAGTGTAGTAAGAGGACAGTTGTCATGGGCTGTGTGGGGCAAGGTAGAACAAATGGAAAGACGGAGGTCAGAAGATAAAAACTTTAATTATATTTAAAATATAGAAATATGTTTCATTATAATTATCCTTGAAGAGGCAGCTATAATTTTAGATAAATTTCAATATGACAGTATAGGGTGTCTCCTAACACTAGAAAAAGTTCATCTTAATAGTCAATAGATATGCTTACTAACAGTTTATATCATATGTTCAACTATATAGCTATTAGAAAGACTTAGTGGGCCAGAAAGGGAAAGGGATATAAGAGATGTACCAAAAAGCAAAAGTAGTAGGTGCTACAGACTAGTTCATGGCTGCCTAGCATTTACTATATACTAATATATTAGTCTAATAATACTCTTCCTGAACCACCTGATCTTAAAAGTAATCACATTTGCCAAATTAGTCCAAATGTATCTAGATAGATTCTCCTCTTTAGGAAATATTTGTCTTGGTATGCACACACATACACACACACACACACACACACACACACACACACAAGCTGCAAGTATTTAGACTTGAATGATCATTCATATTCTCATTCTCAACCCCAGGAAGGGTTTGGTTTTCAAAGGTTTTGGGTTTTTTTTGGGGGGGGGTATTCCAGGGATCAAACTCAGGACTTTGCACTTGCCAGGGAGGTGCAGTGCCACTGTGATAAATCCCTGGCCCTCAAATTTTTCTTTCAGTCTTTTCCTATTTATCCTATTTTGGCTTAGTCCTTTTTTCACTAGTAAAGTAAGTCTAAATAACTTGTTAAGTCTACATGGTAAATAATTGTACATGATACCCCACTATGAATGGGTTACTCTGAAACACTAGGGACCCCAATAGATAATGGCCCATTGTGCTTCTTCTACTGTGAGGACAGATAATTTGAACTGAATATTTAAATATTTAGAACATTCCATAAGCCCATAATCAACGACTCTAACAGAAATGCAACAAGAAGGAAAACAAAACCAAATCCTTAAGTGCTTTGGAGACTATATATTGTTCATTTGTGTAAATTAGCAAAAGTCCACTATAAGTAACCTATAACAAGGTAGCTGGTTGATCTCTTAAAAATATTTTATTTCAGGGCCCTCATGCTTATTAAAAATTTAGGGTAACTAGTTACAGTAGCAATAGCTTGGACAGTCTCCTTGAGAAGAAATTAATATTCTTGAACATATGTATCATTTCCATATTATGCCACTATTGTGACACAAAAGCCTTATTGTGCCATTTTGTAAATAAGATCCCTAAATCAACTCTGGGTTCAGTAAGAATAAATACATCTACACAAAGACTCATTCTATCTTTGTTTACTTAAAACTTTCATTAAAGCAATGGTGTTACTAATGGAAACTCATACACACTGGGCTCATTCCATAAGGTCAATTACCACTTTGTTTGCAAAGGATATGACCCAAACTCAAATTCACTCAAGCTGAAAACAACTCTCATTTACATAACTGGGAAGACTGGAGGTAGGGCCAAAATGAGGTATTAAATAACCAGACATTATCAGGACTCTGAAATTGCTTGCTTTGCATTTCTCTGTGGTTTCCTCATTTTCATCTAAAGATGGGAACTCTCTTTGGCAGAAGGCCTATTAGAACATTATTTCTTCTAATTCCCAATGTCTGTGTATAGATTTTACAAAAAGCTTCAACTCTGTCTTAGTTTCTTTTCATTGCTGAGAAAAAACACTTGGCACCCAACAGACAAGAAGGAAAGGTTTATCTGACTCAGTTTGTAGAGATTTCAGTTCATAGTCAGCTGGTTCGAAGGCCAAGTATCATGGCAGAGGGGCAACGCAGAGGAGAAACAGTTCATAGCAGGCAGGATCAGCAAGTGGCAAGAGACGAGCAAAAAAGGGCAAGTAGCAATAGCAGCTTCTTTCTGTCGCTTTATATTCTATCAAAGTTACCCACCTGAGGGTGAGTAATATACCCAGAACTATTCCAAAGCAGTGAATAGATTGATTTAGTAATCACACACCCTTCATCCCAGCATTATACATTCTAGTTCCGAGCACCTCTAAAAAAGTTCTACCTATGACTGCGGGGGCAGAGGGGCATCTAGACACAAACCATAACAAATTCATTTGTCTTCAATTATGTGTTCTTCTCAGGCACAGCCAAATGTCAGTTTTGTTTCAATTCTGCTCCACAACCCAAATGGTTTTGTGAATAACAGTCTCATCAGAACTACACAGAGCAGGAAGCAAAACAAAAATACAAAGAAGAGAGTAATGATATCAAAGAGATACTAGTGACACAAAATCAAACTGTGCATTACAAAAGCAATACTATTTTTGTACATTTAAGGACTGTAAAAGTTTTTTTTTTTTCATTGAGTTTATTGGTACTTATTAAGTACACACTAAAGCTATATTTACCATTGGGATCTTGTACTTTTACATGACAGATCTTGGTTCTCATTTTTTCCCTATACCCCTACCCTTCCTTTACCCCCTCCCCCTCCCCCATTTACAAAGTCTGTTTCCATTTTTTCCTTATTTCCTTTCCCCTACCCTTCCCACTTTCCCTTCACCTTTAGCCCTTTTCTTTCTATTTCACATTGTCAGTTATACAGTTTATATCTTATTTACATTTTTAGTGTTTCACACCAGAGAAACTATTCGGTATTTACATGTGTGTCTTATTTATTTCACTTAGGAGTATGGCCTCAATAGTAATCCATTTTCCTATGAATGACTCTAGTTTCTCATGCTTTATGGCTGAGTAGTATTCCATTTTATAGAAAAACCACATCTTCTTTATCCAGTCTCCAACTGATGGGCAATTGGGCTGTTTTCAAGTTTTAGTCATTACAAACTGTGCCATTATAAACATGGGTAAGTATATTATCACTGTGCTATGGATTCTTTTAATTCATTTGGAAAGATAGCCAGTAGAGGGATAGTTCAATCAAAGGGAACCTCTAATCCTAGTTCTTTGAGGTATCTCCATATTGATTTCCACAGTGGTTGCACCAGTCTGCACTACCGCCAACAATAGAGAAGAGTTCCTTTCTCCCCACAAAGCCGCCAACATTTGTTATTGGTTTATTTCTTAATTGCAGCCATTCTTTCTGGGGTCAGGTGGAATCTTGGTGTTGTTTTCATCTGTACCTCTCAAATGATGAGTAATGTTGAACTTTTTTTATATATTTATTTGCTGCTTTTACTTCTTTGTCAGAAATGTCTGTTCATTTCAGATGCCCATTTTTTAAAATGGGTCTTTATATTTGGGGGCCCTGATTTTTTTGAGTTCTTTTTGTATTCTAGATAATAGTCCTTTGTATAAGGAGCAGCTGCTAAAATTTTTTTCCCACATTGTAGGTTGTCTCTTAGCTCTGTTGGTGGTTTCTTTTGCAGTTCAGAAGCTTTTTAATAAGATGAGATTCCAGTTGTTGATTCTTTGTGCTAGTTCCTGTGCTACTGAGGATTTATCCGTAAAATCTTTTCCTATGCCAATGTCTTTGAGAGTTCTGCCTAACTTATCTTCCAGCAAGTTTAGTGTTTGTAAAAGTTTAGTCTTAATAGAAAAACTGAAAAAATTTAGAAAAGGATCTCTGTGAATCATTTTCTATACTATTGAAAACTTAAGTAGAAATTTCAATCTTAACCTAAAACATTCACTTCTGTTACAACCGGGTGCAATTTTTATGACTCAAAAACATCTTACCAATAAATGTTGACTGCACACTTTATATTTAAAGTCATCTAAAAGTGCTGCTTATAACAGTACTGTTTGTATAATATCAATAATTATCAGTAATTACCTCCTTGATCCTGATAGAGTTTGTAATCATATTTCACTTCACTGAGTTATTTTCTTTTTATTTCTTTATTATTTAGCCAAAAGTGTTTATCTAGAGGGACATTTAGTTTACATATGTAAGTTATATAAACAAATTTGGTATGAAACTTATAAGAAAAACACAAAGTATTCCAATAAAACTTTAGAATCTGGTTTCATTATTCCAAATAATTTGAAGTATATAATAAAATTTCTCAGAAAAGGCACAAAATTTATCACTTTCCATTCCATGCTTATATAGCCATTATCAGGTATATTCTCGGTGAAGAGGGCTCCAGTTACCTGAACAGTAAGAGAGCCGATGATACCTTGTTGAAGAAAGTTTAAGCTACTTTTGGTGTGAAATCAACTTTAAAAACTTTAGACCTAACACACTACCTCCTTTATTAAAAAATCTACTCATTAGGGAATGAGCATGAAAGAGCTGAATATTTGACAGTTTTATGTAAATTCCTCAACTGTATCTTTCTAAAAATCAAATTTCTTCCTATTAGTCCCTTAAAACCCCTTTTTCCTTCACCCATTAGTTTATTCTAACCAACTTTAAAGCAAGATCAAGCAGGCTAAGATATAATGAGAGAAAGGAAAGAAGAGACCGGGCAGGCGGTGGGTAGTAAGGGTAATCTTCACATAACAGCATGGGTAGGGCAGAGGGGAAATCTGTTAATACACAGCTGTCCAGCCCAGCAGCAAACACGGCCCCTTCATCTGACATGATAACACTCCGTTTAGGGAAAAAGAGAGGATACAAACAGAAAAACAAGTCCATTTTCTGGACTTATTTCTCAGAGTTGGTAAAGAAATATAGAAAGAATATGCAAACTGCCCAACAGTAAATGCACAATACATGGAAGCCAATAATTCTTTCTGAAATTCAAAACTGCTCGTTTTGGTTTTATTTGCATGGTTAAAAGGAAATATAAATACCGTGAAAAAGCGCAAGTTGACAAAGAGTAAAGCTACATAATAGTGAATTCCCACCAACCACTCTACTACATCATCATCACTGGTAAAACATCGAGAAGCATCTTGCAATTCATGATCTGTAGAAGTCACTTTTGAAATTTAAAATATATTATGAACATCTTCTCTTGTCAATACTAAAATCATTTTAATGGTCATGTACCCATGGTCATGTACACATGCAACATATTTCATCTGCCCACTCTCCCCCTCTGAGCACTAACAGCAAGTTCACTTTTAAAAATGTAGTAATACGGTACCGGATATAAATATTAGCATAAATATTAGCTAAATATAGTGAATATTAGCTAAACATTAGCATACCTGCTTATTTTCTGTTGGGGAATAAATACTCCAGTTATAAAATGGTAGGTATAATTATAATTACTTTTCACATAAATAAAACTACTTGTTAAATATCTGTCTTCCATTTTATACTGACAAGTAAATTTTTGTGAGATTCAGATATATATTCTTGTTTCCCTTTTCCTATTTCACTGAAATAATTCTTTCCTTCAGGGTTTACCGTCTGATAGAAGTAAGGGGGCAGAAGAAACCTTCCTTTTATGAAAAGCCTAAACCACTGTGACACTTGCATCATATAGCCTGGGAAGGGATGCAGCAACATAGGTGAGAACATAGGTGGAAAAAGGTGTCTGTGTGTCCCTTTGGTGATACAGACCATAGCCAGCTGGTCCCCAAGGAAGTGCTTAGACCTAAGAGAGTGTGACAGGAGGATAAAACATCTAAGAAGTTTAAATCCTAGCAAAGTATACATATCCTACATGCTGTGTTTATTCTCTATTCTGCCTTTTTGCTTTCCTGGGGTTTTAACATAAGTTAGTTTTAGTAGCTTTTACCTATGCAGTTCCTAAACATCCATGTCATCCCAGTATTTGAAGTGTGTCTTCTTTTCCATCACTCAGTTTCTCTTCGATAGCTTAGGAGTATTCCTGGACCTCAAAGGGTTGGCTCTAGGCTTGGAAAATATTATACCAATGGCCTTGAAAGAGTGAACAAAGAATAGAATTATTCCACCTTTTTGTTACTGCAAATTATTTTTGTGCAATCTTAAGAAGGGATGGAAGACATAGATTGACAAAGAATGTCTTGGCATCCTTTTGGGAAAGTGGCTTAAAGTTCTATTTGGTTTGTCTTTTCACCACTAAAAGTAGTCTTTTTCTCCCTTAATTTTCTTGAGCAGCCATGTATATGGCCTATGATCTTCCCCCTATATTTAGCTCACAAGTAATTTAAAACTTCCGTAAATAAGACTTTCAACCAATTGATAGGTGCATTAAATAGGAAGGAAAAATTGGGGCCCAGGAAAAGCTGTCAAAGGGAAATGTTGTAAAATAGTTATAGAACAGAGTGTCGAAACAACTCCTACCAGATAGATACAAAAGAAGCAGCATATTCTATCATATGTTTGATGTCACTGAACACTTACATTCAGTCTCATTACATTTAAGTCACTATAAAGAGACTCAAATAGTGCTAGGTAGTTTATTGATACCTTTTAGGTATACATAATGATCACATTCAACATAAGAAATCTGTACCTGTACATGATAATCTTGATTCTTCTTTTTCCCCTTCTCCTACTCTCTCAAATCCCTCTTCCCCTCTTTATTTACAAAAACTCTGCTTCAATTTTAACCTTCTTTTTCATTTTTTCCATTCTCTTCCATCCTGCACCTTGAAGCTATACTCTCTTAAGTGAAATAAATCTAAATCAGACCCACATGTGTAAATACATTGTTATCTTAAAGATTAACTTGAAAAAAATAATTATATGTCTTTGACAAGAAAAAAGTTGTCTTTTGAAGTTTTTTTAAAAATAATGTGTCCTTAAAAGGATGTGTCTTGTCAAAAATGTGCTATCTTTATTATCCATGGGTGAGTTCTCCAAAAAAAGTTTCAAATGCCTATTTTTAAGGAGGCAGTTTAAAACTTATGACTTTCAAAAGAATCTCTAGCCAGCATCCATCACCCCAAATGATGTGTTTTAGAATCCTTAGTATCACTGATATTGATTTCATGTATATAATTTAGATACACAATTTATTCTAAAAAGTAATAAGGTTAAAGCAAAACTGATAAACTCACTTTGTTACTGGTCAATGAAATGCTGTGGAAAATAAGAAAGAAAGATGAATGGAAAACATGATTTTGTCTCTGTTTTGCTGCAAACCAGAAAACCGTGTTGTCCTAACTTACCTATGAATGAACCACAGAAGAAAATTTCTTGCACATAGGACTGTAGTCAAACTAAGATGTGGGGTCTACCATCTGTAACAAATATTATGCTGACACAGCTGAAGTTTCGCAAAATATTTGCTTCTTTTATTTTCTACTTTGAGCCCTATGTCACCTCTGGTGTGTTTTAAGTTAGTATTTGTTTTTCAAACTTCACAAATTTGGGCAAAGGGGTTTAGTTAGGAAAACTTTACAGAACTCCATTTCACGGTTAATGCATCCAATCAACGCTCAAAAATTGGGAGGTTGATTAGTTAATGATGGATTATTGAGGATATTTACTTCTCTTATACTTCACTTGCTTCTCTTTTGTCTAATTCAATTTCCTACTTGAATTTTTATCAGATAAGACCCAAGTATAGGAAAGTTCAAAGTAAACAAGGCCTCCAAATCATACAATAAAATAGACCAGTATTGCGCCTAACTTGAAATGCTACTGCTGGTCAGAAACAACTATCATACAAAAAATAATTTAAACACAACATATTTTTAAATAATGTCTATAGATGTTGAAATTTTTTATTGGATGAAAACAATGTTTTCAGTTATCAGTATCATTATCATTGACCTACTACTGCTACTACAATGGTAGCACAGGAATTCTACCTCTGATGGTGGGGACATTACTGTTCATGGCTTTCAAAATATCCCGAACTACTCGAGAAAACCATATAAGGTGAAATTGGATCTCATGTTTCAAGTGACTCAATGGGGAAAAATGAATTAACATCCCAATGAACATTAAAACTTCCTTCCCAAGTCTTTCAATTTTAAATATTAAGTTAAGCAGAGGAAGACTCTTGCAGGTTTTCCACCCTTGGTCAGCCCTAAATTGGCTTCTAGACATTGGTTAAAGATATACTCCTTGGGGAATTACTTTTATAGATCCAATTAAAGTTTGCTCTGCAAGCATCCTGAAAGTTCAGATTTAACAAATGTTTCCAATGTATGTGACACTTCTCAGAAATTGCAAACAACATGATCAAAGGGAGTCCCTCTCTGGAATTCTCACTTGGTAACTAAAATAAAGTTGTAACACATTTTCCACTACAAATATTTTTGAATTTTTAAAATTAAAAATACAAAGAATATATTGGTTTTATACACTGACATATTTTATTTAAAAAGATATTTTGTATTTGTCATCTAAGAATGTCCTTACTCCACGATGTCTGTTTAGAATCAAGAAACAAAACTCTGAGGTAGCACTACAATAAGCAATTTATCTAAGGTGTGTTCCTTCTGATTCCATTAACTTACTCAACAAACATTTATTAATCTCTAGTCAAGATTACAAAATCCTGGGCAGCTTATGTTGTCTGACATTAAATGAATGGCTTGTACCTAAGTCCAAATCGTCTATCTCTTTTCAAGGAATTCTGCTCTCACACTTGCTAACATTAAAGGGAACAGGTGCTGAAATGTTCCTCTAGAAATTCAAGCACATGTGACAGACAGCTACACTTTCATTGAAGCATTCCTTTCCACGGGGACACTGAAAGAACTGGGGACCCCTCAGTCTGCTGATCCTCTGGCCTAGGAACTCCATTTGGCACTAGATGCTTACTCTTGTTTATCCAGATTGTACTACACACTACAAGAAAAGATATTATTTGTTTTCTCATTTATTTTTATTTTTAGTTTTAATCTTCAACAATGAAATGAAATAATATACCAGTCAAGTGGGTACAGAACCAAGGAGGATCTTAAGCCTTTTAAATGTTAATTATTCAAGTTTTTAAAAATATCTTTAAGAGACATTTGTATATCAGATGTTGAGGGATAAATTCAACAGAAATTCAGAGATTCTCCATCTCACTGGAATTTGAGTAGTGCAATGATATGGGAATGCTGAGATATCCCTTATAAAGTGAAAATAAATTATTGCATCTGATCCCTTCTATGACTAATACAGAGCCACAATTCCTAGTGGGCTTCTTTGGATTTTGGAGGCAACATATTCTTCACTTGGATATGTTATTTGGACACACTTGTCAAATGACCCAAAAGGCTACTATATTTGAATGTGTCCCAGAACAAGAGAACAGGTTCAAGCCATTATACAAGCTGATATTCCACTTAGGCCATGTAATCCAGCAGATCCACTTGTTTCTGAAATAGCTCTGGTAGAAAAAATGCTGTCTGGAGTTTTTGCTAGGCCTGGTAGATGACTACATCATAGGCCTTTAAGAATTTGGAGCCTTACACTAAAGAAGTAACTATTCTTTTATAAACTGATGTTGGATTGCTCCTGGAATTTAGTAAACAATAAATGCTAAATATGGACCACCAAATTGCCATGCACCTAAACTGCCCAATATGAACAGGGTGTCATTTGACCTACTGAGTCAGAAAGTCAGCATAGCAGGCAAGACTCCATAGCCAAAGAAAAGTATTATATGTGTAATTGGGCCTGAGTAGTCTCTGAAGGCACAAGTAAGTTACATGAGCAACCCAGCAAAATGTCTAAGGGCCCCACTTCTTCCACTATGCCCATTTTCTACCAGCCTGCCCCCAATAGCTTCATGGAGGGATGCTCATGGGGGGTGGGGGGGATAACTCAGGCTTGGTGTGAGTTTACCTGCTCTACGAGGTCTCTATTGCTCAGCTTTTTTGTAACTAGGACAAAATACAAGAACCCTGCAACTTAAAGGTTTATTTTGCCTCATGGTTTCAGAGGGTCGGCTGACTCCAAGTCAGGAACATCCTGACATGGGTGTGGTATAAGCAAGGCTGCTCAACTCATGACATCCAGGAAGCAAATAGTAGGGGAAGAGCCCCCTCCCCAGCAAAAAAGGGGCCAAAGACCAAATATAGATCTCAAAGTCATATGCCCACAACCGACTTCCTCCAACTAGACACTTCCTAATAGCTAATTCAGCTATAATCTCATCAGCAGATTAACCCCATTGATGAGGTCAGTGCCCTCAAAATCCGATCATCTCTCACAGGAGTTTTTATTTTCTTTGTGTGGGGGGGGAGTAGGAACTAGGAATTGAACCAAGGGCCTTCATACTAAGCTACATGCTCAATCCTTTTTAAATTTTTATTTAAAGGTAGGGTTTTGTTAAGTAGTTAATTTTCCCAGGCTGGAATGTAACTTGCAAGCTTCATCCCTCAGCATATATATACACACACACACACACACACACACACACGCACACGCACACGCACACACTATAATATAAAAGAAATCAGGCTAAATATGTTTGAAACATCCCTGAAGGGCTCTTTCAATTGTCAATAACTCATTTATTGAGCTAGTATCTATGGCTTCTTTTATGGAATGCCATGTCAAATGAGCAATGGTTTTCATGAAAATGTTGTTTAAAAAAATCATGCTGACTAGATAATTCTGTAGTTCTTTTAAAAGCTTTGTTGCTTTCTGGTACCCAGTTTATTTATTAAATCAGATAATTGTCCACCCCCAACAGTGCTATCATTTCATGTAAGTTATTTCAGTAATAAAGAACAAATAAGATTATACTACACTCTACTGAGGAAATTCCTTCCCAGAGTCAGTTCTACAAAGGTTCGTCCAAAAACTTACAGCAAAAACTGAAACTAAGCTACCACATTTAGGTTATTATGCTTGTGTTATTTTGTAAGAAGTTATTGGAAAGGAAACTGGAGGTATGGGGGATTCACTGAAATTATCCCAACTACTTGTAGTGAAGTTACTAAGATTTTAGAGATTGATGAGGTGAAAAAGTTAGTGTTTTATTATAAAACTGTGACTGGAGGGGAATTCTGTCAAGGCATAAAAATAGGCTTTCTGAGCTAAAGTGTACCTGACCAAGACCTATTTTTCATTCCTTGGGCATGGAAAAAATTAATTCTAGCTAAAAAAGAAGATTCCATAGACTTCCTTAGCAAACAATATCTGTGGCAAACAAATGTCTCTTTCATCGTATTATTTCTTAGGTCTCTGTTAGGAAAATATCACCAATATATGCCATTCAAAAAGAATCAATATGTTATATGTTGAATAAACATATGTGGTATGTGTATCTGGTAAACAAATGGCAGAAATTGCTTATGTGGGTATAAAACTTGTTATAAGGTGCAATGTTTTTACACCTTCTTTATGTACTTTATATACATAGGTATATAAAGGTATACAAGGTATATACATCAACAGTACTTTTCGATGAGAATAAGACATGGGAAACAGCAAATAATAAGAGTTTAGCTCTAATTTTTAAAAATTTTACATCTGTCTTGGGGATGGTGTATGCCTATAATCATAGCAACCACGGGTTCAATCCCCAGAACTCCCTTCCAAAGTCAAAAGAATAAAAGAAAGCAAAACTTTCACATCTAATATTTTATTGTTAGTTTGTCCCTCTCTTCCTTTTGTTCTGTTTCGGTCTCTAGATTCATGCAATTATGTTTCCCCTCTTCAGTTTGTATATTTTTGTGAAATTTGTAAATTTTCATAAATCAGTAGATCTTATGTACTATTACTCCTTTCTGCTTTTATTAGATGTTGCCTTAAAAAAAATAAAATGGATACTGTCATATATCTTCAAGTAACATCTCAACATGTAAAATGGAAGCTCCTAACTCTTACAAGAAATTATACAGAATATAGCAATAATTTGATTACCTAGGGTCCAGTCATATTTATCTTCCTAATTCTTGGCAAAGCAAGTTTCACAGTATTTCTTTGTTTTATCCCTTTTCTGGTGCTTTCTAGTTATTTTGTTCAACTACAGTTGGTTTATTCATTCTGGGTTATTATTTTTGTTTTTAGGAGGGTAGCCAGAAACTTCTAGTTGATATTCTTATTTTTTTTCCAGCTTTAATTGAGTTTTTTGGTACATTTTAGGGATACAGTACAGTTACATTCATTGTTGGGATCTTGTACCTCTACATGACAAGTCTTGGTTCTCATTTTTCCCCTTACCCCGTCCCTCCCTTCACCCCCTCCTCCCCTCCCCATCTACAAGCACTTTATTTCCATCCTTTCATTCTCTCACACTTTTTTATTTTCCCTTATTACCCTTCCCCTACCCATCCCACCTTCCCTACACCTTTAGCTCCTTTCTTCCCATTTCTAAATATCAGTAATCTTATTAGGATCTTATGTATTAGTGCAGATTATTCACACCAGGGAAACTATTCGGTATTTACACATGTGTGACTTATTTATTTCACTTAGGAGTATATCTTCAATATGTATCCATTTTCCTATGAATGAATCTATTTTCTCGTTCTTTATGGCTGAGTAATATTTCATTGTATAGAAACATTCTTATTTTTAAAAATTAAATATGTATGTATGTATATAAGTCACCCAGTCCAGTAACAAAAATCAGGATAATGTCATGCACACTTTTACAATAAACATTTATGGTATGCTAATAACTATAGCAAATATGCTCTATAATATGACTTAAATACTGAACATCAGAAATTTATATGTTGCTTGTATAAAACCATTAGACCAGGGAACAGTGGTACTGACTTCCCATACAAAGGAAGTCTCAATTCCAGGTTTCTTAAAGGAACAAGGAGTATGAAAGCATATGTGTGAGCAGTTTTATTGCACATGCTCATATATGTAAGAGTCATGCTTTATTTTTACTCACATTCTGTTTGCCAATTATATGCAATTATATATGCAATCCCAATTACATGCGATACCCAAATACATATATATATAT